TAAATTGGCTTTTACTAAACACACATTAAAAATATTTACAGTATATGAAGAAAATTCAATATACGAATCATCATGATATAAGACAGAATTTGAGCATTGCCCTTAAAGCTTTGAAAAATGTATTTTACTGAATTCAGAGAAACAACTTCTCATTGGTCTTTAAATAATAAATAAAAATATCTGGCTATGATACAACATTTTTCTATCACTACTGAAACATTATTTTATTCTTAACCCCACGTTCTATTCTAGAACTTTAGCTGGAACTTTTTTGACTAGATAGCAATCAACAATTTTATTTCATTATTCTTGTCTGTCTGCTATGCCTCTACAACACCAAGGTGGAAAGTTTAAAAAAAAAAAAGGATTCAGAGGTTTTATTTCTCTATTAACTTGGAAATTATAGTATGTCACATATAATGTATAAAGTTAAATATAACGTAGTAGAGAATACATGGAAAAATATAATTTCCAAGTTAAGAACAGATATACACAGTTTAAAATAAATACAGGTATAACATTGCCATTTCAAGATCAATAAGAATATTTTATGAGTTATTTTGACCGATAAAAATATTTGCTTCCATAAAATATCTTTTCCTATCATTTATGCAAAATTTGTTTGTCTTTAGCTTAATATCACAGGATATGCAACTTATAAAATTACTACATAGAGAGAGAGAGAGAGTGATTTTTTTATACTCAGTCTTCAGTTCACCTTCACCAGGAAAATATTAATAATTGGTTGATAATTAGATATTGTTGACCTATAAAGTTGATGATAACAAGTGCTAAACAAATGTACAAAGCTTGTATTATTCATTAGCAAGACATTCACAGTGCTCAGAGATTTATACATAGGATTTTCACTTGTTTATTAATATTGCTGGGATCTTTGTAAATGAAGTACATGGAACACTGTAGTGAAAAACTAAAAGGCATTATTAGTTCCTGAAAAAATAATTATTTAGAATGAAGACTCATTCTAGGCATATTTCAACTTTATTTTTTCTATTCATTTTTGGCACTATAAAAAGGGTAAACTATAAAAGTAGCTAGGTATTTAAAAGACAAATATACCACTCAATAATAAATAATTTAGTAAATAAATTTAGCAAATATCTACAAAGTGCTCATTATGTTCCATGCCATGTATAGATACTAAAGTCCCAGAAAGAGTCTCATTCTATGATCTCACCAAGCCTATTGTCAGGGGAAAAAAAAAAAAAGAGAGAGAGAGGGAGAATCACTCCACAGAATGAGTGTGATTTTTAAAGGCAAAGGCAAATTTTCTTAATTCATGTCTGCTCTTAATTTCTTGGGTAATTTGGAGAGCCTATCTTCTTTTTTATATCAGGTTTTATTAATATAGTGATGAAGTATAAGTCTTGTATACCAATTTGTCAGTTTGGTTTCTTCCTTCACACACGTGCAGGCTAAGGCCCTCTGACATATCTGGTACCACTACACAGATTATGAGTTAAACTGTTTTATTTGAATTCACACACCAATTTCAGTTTTCCAGTTGTAGATTTCTTCATAAAAAGCAGAAAGTAGAACAGGAATGAAATATATTCCTCTGAAAAGGAGGCTAAGGAAACGATCTTTGTTTCGTTCAGGGGGTTTGAGACCAGATACTTTTAAATAAGTACTTACTTGCGGACTTAGTGAATTAGTATCTTTGCGGAGTACTGCGGGCCATCAGTGTTTGCTAGCAAATGGTATCAAGTATTGTTTATTAAAAACTTGAATTAGTTCTTTGAAAACAAGCTATAACTACAATATTAATAAATCTTTGTAAGATCACCAATACTTTTTCTATAACTAGTTCCATTTTGCATATTACTTGTAAGTCCTTGTTAATGTTGCAAGATTTCACTCATGGATGAATTAAACAGTTTTGTATTTTTTTTCAAAATTATTATAAGCCTTCATAATGATCATTTTAATGGATGCATATTTTATTGTGCCAATATACAATGATATCATTTTTTTTAAGTAAGAACCTACAGTGCTCTACTCTACACTTGATCTTAGCCAAAAGTCTGAGAAGGAATACAATGCTCTACTATCAATAGACCAGGAGAACCAGTAATGTATGTTAATTATAAGGGCACAAATGTGATTGTTAATAGTAATAGTCAAGTTAATGTTTTAAATACTGATATCATGTAATAAATGGTTTTAAATAATTGTAGCATAAATACTTTAAGGATTATTTGAATCTAAAATAATGAAAAAGATTTCTGTTTGACTCAAGAATATCTTAAAGTTTAGAAAGTTAAACAGCATACTTCCTTTTAAAAGTTAACTTAGATTTACATAAAAATTTGGAAAAGAGTAAGATATAAACCTCTCAACTAGCACTTTCTTAAGCACCGGAAAAATCATTATCTTTCCCAGTTCTTTCAATTTCTGTCAGAAGAAGCATAGAGAGAACTATATATTTTGGTAATTAATTTCCTTAAGATAATGTTAGAAACATCAGGTTCTTTAAAATATAAATGAATTTCAAGGTGAGCATGCTAGAGGATAATATTAATGGCATATGATTTATTGTGACAAGAGATCTGATCTGAAACACCATTATTAGGAGTATTTAAAAAAATCCATTTGCAAATTCCTCAAAATACGAAAGAGTGCTATGGCTGAACGTGTCTCAAAGTTGAAATCTGAAAATCTGCCCTTTTAAGTATAAAATAGCTTGTGCACAATATGTGGCATGTCTTCCTCATAAAAATTTATTAGAAAATTTTCATATTCTGAATATGTTGCATTATAGTTTAGGGAATTATCTAAATGCTTGTAATTCTGAGTGAAGACAATCTGCAAAAGTACAGATTGAAATGTATATGCCTAACTGACCTGGTAATATATGCAATTTTAGAGCTGTTAACTGAAAAACAGATAATACACTGAGCATCTACTATATACCTGGCATTCTTTGAACTCACAATAGAAACATGTGAGCTGTGTCAATCTAAAAGGTGTTGTCTACAAAAAAAAAAAAAAAGGTTTTCTATATTATCACTGTTCCAAATGAAATATTCCCTTTAAACTATGCAAGATTTATTCATCTCTCAAATTTACAAATAAGCTTCAATAGGATGTAGTTTAACACCTTTTAAATACATTGGGATGTACAAACACATTGCTGTACATAGTATTCAACCACACATTGGGCAATGAGGAATGTCATAAATTAGTACTGCAATCAATAATAAAAAATTAAGTATATATATGTGAACAATAGAAGTCTTATTAAGCAGAATTAAAATTATTCTGGAGAACAGATTGCACTAACCTCGGATACTTGAGAAGGATCATAAATATTGGCATTCTTATATATAGTTTGTCAATTTGATTATCACATAAATATATTGATACACTTTCTCTATACTTTTAATTCTCCTTTTTTCCCTCTGCCCTCATCTCTTCTGTTTCTCCCTTTCTCTCTCTCTCTCTCTCTCTCTCTGCTAAGTTTGGAACCAAAGTTTTTTTTCCCCCAGGTATTTCGTAAAGCCTTAATGGACTTTTAAATTGTGAAACTCCTGGATGGGGGACACTGCATGCCTCATTCTCAAACAACAATTATTTTTTTGTTTGAAATCTATTTTAACATATGAATATCAACATATGAATGCTGCATGGGATGGCATTTGAGTAAGCATAGGCTAGATTTTGTAATATGGCTTTATGTACATTAACAAATATGTTCATTTTCAGGACATTCAAGGTATATTAATATGTGTTGAAATCTACCATAAGGTGAATATGATTTCATTGTTAGATCAATTTATTTTCATATATCACATGAAACAAAATTAAATCTTGTAAAATGAAAATGTCTATTCTACACACAAAGAAAACTTACAGGTACAAAATTTTAATGAGATCGCTACTAAATTTTATAATACACATGGCACAAAATTCACACAAAAAAGTATACAGTAAAAATTTAGTCTCCACCTCAACTATTTAGTTCCCTTTTCCAGGAGGAACCAGAGTTAAGAGATTTTTGTGAATTTCTCTAAAGATATGATGTGCACATGTACATACTCATATATACATTTCTTCCATTTTCTTTAAACCAAAATTGTACCTGGCTGAACTATGAGAGAAAAGGCAAAACATAGTATCATGATTTATGATTTCCATTGTTAAACTAGCCAAACACAGGGACTATAGAGACTTGGGCTTTGAACATTAATATATAAATCACTCAAATATCTGCATAGAAAGGCAGATTATGATTTTCTAACTTTGTGAAACGAACATAGTAGAAATGGGTATAATTGAAGCAAAGATGATTCACTTTTCTGTCCCATATTTCTAGGGGGTCGAGGGGAGATAGCCCTATTTCTGTCTAGAAATGGGAAAGATACAAAACCAAACCCTCCCCTATGTCCTTGAATATCCAAAAAAGTCAACATCTACATTTGGAAGGGAAAAATGTGTATTACTATAGTAGCAAAACTAATTCTGATTGTCAAGGCTCTTCTCCTTAAAGAATAAATCTTTAAAATTAGTTTATGTTAGCATTGATAATTCTCTGGTTTATTTTCCATTTGGTTGAGGTCAATACTGGACAGACAGTACAGAGATGTCAGGGCTAAACTGATGCCTTTGTAATACACAGTTACTCAGCATTATCAAATCACAGTCTCATGTTTTTCTTTGAGATTTAGGATGATCACCCCTTATACCCTTAGCCATGTAAAGACTTCCCATGAATCTTATTATTTTCACCTTATATACTTGAAATTCTTATTTTCAACATGAGAATGGACTAGAGATCACAATTGCATTCCTCAGTGTAGTCTCATTAAAACCAAAGAGGAAAAATTAAATTCATTTACACTTTTGTCCCAATATTTACACACACCCCTAATGTTATTCAGCCATTATATGTAAAATGTTTTATACCATATAGTGATCCTTTTCATGACATAATTCATCAACAGCAACCGCAATTATAATTTTATCATTTGTTACCTTACCTACTGTTGAATTTTTCTGGGTGTTTTTCTCTCATGATGTGGAATCTGTGTGCAATGGAAGCATCCTAAGGAGAAAAATAGAAAAGTAAAATGAAGCGGTTTATGATCCTACTATCTTGTGGAAATAAAGATTAAAAGACAAAAATTAACTAATAATATTTTTAAAGTAACTCTTTCTTAACACTATCACTGCCCAGAAGATATTCTGAAATTAGGCAGAAATGAGTAATCTACACAAATTCAGTGTGTGATTCATGTCATCATTTCACCATTGGTTACTTGTCACATTGACTTCTAGGAACTGATTTCTATTTAATTTATGTATCTCCTTTACTACCTGGTTTTGGCCTCATGATCAAAGTATGTTTAAGAGAGTGTCCATGAACATAAATGTTAAAAGTAGTTGAAAATATTGTTACATGTAGCTGGAAGAATGGCCTAAGTAGAGGAGTAATCAGGTGGAGTATTTTCTAGTCCTGTGAGATTAATTATGAGTAAAAAAATAGTGTGAGGGTGCATATATAATAAAGTTAAGTATAATACAGGACTTCAAAGTTTGCTGAGTGTCTTGAATGTGTAATTATTAACTGTTCACTCCACAAGCAACTTTCTGACATATCTTATCTTGCTTAATGGAGGAAAAAAAGCAACAAAGAGAAAAAAAAATTATTTCTGGAAAATTGATGACAAGTGTAACTAGGCTCTGAGACTCCAAATGCACCAGTTATGAACCCTAATGGATTTCTTTCTTTTAAGAAATCCACTCAGAGTTTCTATGAGACAGAATCACACTGAGCATGGGAGATTGGTGGAATATTGTGATTCAAGCTTTTCAAATACAGACTGTCCTTGCTGACTTTAAACAGTTGCCCTTGTTATATTCCAAGCAAGAAGATATTTTCCCATTCTTCATCTACACGATTAATCACGCCAATGAGAAACTAATATATTTACCAGTCATCTCAGTAGAAACAGGGCTACTGTTGCGATTAACTGTTAATTTTGTTTCATAGTGCAGATAAAAAAAAAAAAGAAAAACCAAACACAAAGGAGATAAAGAAGTTGTGTATTTGAGAGAATCTAGAAAACACTAATCAAGGATTAAAAGTCTAATGAATGAAATGAAAAGGCTAATGTGCTTACTCATGCATAACAAAGCATGAGGCACAACAAGAGAGGGACCAATGCCCACTGCAGATGGCAGACTGAGTTGCTTTCCCTACAAGATAAAGTTGTAATAGCACTGCAATTTTTCCTGTACATTTTATCCTCTAAAAATCATTAAGGAATTGAATTAATCCACAAAAGAAAAGGACACAAAGACACAGACAGGTGTACATAGAAGCACTTAATAAAAAGTTACCAAAAAACCCCTGTATGGTTTGATATTGTAAGATATCTTTGTTATATATACATGGTCAACTTCCTGGTTTGCTAAGAAGTAGGAATATCAAGATGGTTCACTTTTATTGGTTCAATAGCTCTCAAATCCAGTCACAGAGTTTCTTCCTTTTTTTTTTAATTCTCACTAATAAGTCATAAATATATTCTATCTTAGAATGTTGTCTTATTGTGGTATGAAATTATAGATAAAAATTGAGCTGGGCTCTTTATGATATATTATGTGCCTTGATCATTAATTTTTTAAAACCATTTATTTTGACTTTATCCCTAATCTGGTTCAAAATCAATTTGTAATACCTTATAATTAAATGCATACATCCAGCAGACCAGTTGAACAAAAAGCAAAGGAATATGATTCAAGTCCTAAGAATGGATGGTCAATTTTGGTTATCCATAGGGAGACTATCATTGAACTTACTTCCGCTTGAATTACTTGTTCCTGCTAACGTAGAGAACTGAGATTTTAAAAATAGACTGTGTAGATTAATTTGCTTCACAAGCATCTATTTTTGCAATAACAGATCTCTTCCTTTTCAAAGCAACATAAAAAGGACAGAGGTGGGGGAAGAAGAAAGGAGGGAAAAGGGAAAGAAGAAGAAAAGAGAGTATCTGAAGAAGATCATTTAATTAGACTGGACTATAACTGAGTAAACTCCCAGAAATATAGAACACCAAATAGCCAAGGATAAACTGAATGTTAGCTCTATCTCCAAGATACTTGGGCAATGGATTATGTGGTAAAAGAGGGGATAAATAAAAACTAGTGAGAAACACTGGCATGCCTTTTCCATGTGTTGAATGGGTTTCACCACAAAGAGAGTGTTGGCATTGCTAACTACAGGACTGATAAGACACAATGACAGCAGGTGTTCATTTGGATGAGAATTCAGACCAAATTCCCATGGGACCCTGTCCCTTTGGCATAACCCCAAGAGGCTTAAAAGAGAACTGCCAAACACTGTAAACTTATCCAGCAGCCATATTTCAGAGACACTTAGGACTTCCTAATAGGAGACCAAATAAGAAAAAGATAAAGTATTGTCAGGTTTTTACATAAATTTTGCCCTTTCTCTATGTACCACACTCTTAAGGGACAAAAATTAATCAACATAATGTCCATACCCAAGAATGGACAAACTTTAAATTTAGACAGACTTTTACTTCCAAGACTTGTAACTTTGAGGCAATTACTTATTTACTGTAAGTTGCAGCTTCCTTATCTTTAATAAAGGTAAATGATACTCCATTACAGTCTTTTGGAGAGATTTTTTGAGATTATTTTGTATAGCTGAGGTGTTCATATATTTTATATCCACATCAGAATTTTATTGAAAGTAAAAGGGGATGCTAAAACATAGTTACATTGCATAATTTTGAAATATGTATTTAATGACTTTCAAATTGGTTTTATTATTTCCTGAAATATAAAATACTTTTATTTTAAATTAATTTAAAACAAAATCAGATTTAAGAAATAAAAATAAAATATACCCATCTTTATTAAAGTAAAACAAATTTAAATATCATGTTAATTTTCTAAGCAGCACAAAGTACTAATATATATATATATACACACACACACACAATATACAAATATTCATATATCAGAGAATCAGCTTCTTAGCTGTCACTGTTATTTTTCTGATGAGTGTTTCTTCTTTTCCTATAAGGGCTTATTATTTTATTTTTTAAAAAATAAAGTCACTCTAAATCTCCAAAGTTGCATTTTGAGTTATTAATTTAAAATTTTTGACTATTTCTGTGGACAATAACTGGGTTTTTTTTGGATCATAACAATTTAAATTGAGAAAATACTCTATAAGTGCTGAGATACTTGCACCTATAACAAACTCTACTAAATATTTCCAGTGGGTTTCTTGAGGTATTATTTACATACCATAAAATTCATCAATTTTAAGTGTACCATTCAATGAGTTTGAACAAAGGTATACAATAACCACTTTCACAAACATGATATAGAAAATTTGCACCACCCCCAAAAAGTTCCCTAATGCCCTCTGCATTTATATACTTTTATACTTACACATATCCCCACCACCACCCTCAAAAGACACTGATCTGCTTTCTCTCACCGTAGATCTCCTTTCTAAAAATTCCTGTAAATGGAACTTAAAAGTACTTTTTTATGCCTGGCTTTCTTTACTTATTGTAATACTTTTAGGATTCGGCCATTTGTTCCAGTATCGGTGGTTTGTCAGTATTCAATTGAATAGTATACCACAATATGTTTACTTACTAATTGTTGGCATTTGTCTTTTTATGAATAAAACTGCTATGAACTTCTGAACACAATTCCTTTCATAGATATATGTGATTATATCTTTTGAGTAAATACCTAGGATTGAGACTGCCCAGCTGTATGATAAAGTTTAAATACAACTTTATAGAAGACTACATTATTTTTCAGAGTAATTGTACCACTTTGCATTTCTACCAGTAATTTTCGAGAGTTCCAGTTACTCCATATCTTTACCAACATTCCACATCCACAACAACCCTTGGCAATTTTTTTAAATTTTATCATTCTAATAAATATGCAATGGTATCCTTGCTTAGCCTTAACCATTTGAGCCAGCACCATCTGCTTCACTAGAGGGGTCAATTCTGATGAAAATATACGATATGAAAGTTCTGGTGTAGACTTAATGGATGTTTCCAGCTCTACCACAGCCATTCATCTGTGAAGCTCTTACACGTTCTCAGCAATGAACAGTCTCTGGAATCCCACCTCACACAATTACCCTACATACAGCCTCAAGGGTTTTAAAGGATTCTTCTTTTTCTATTAAATTTCTCTGAAAAAGATATGCAGAGACTATATGCTTAGAATCTCCCTTGAAGAACTTTATTTAAGCTGTCAAACTGATAATGATCTTTTTCTTTGGTTTAACTAAACTTTAAATAAAAAAGTTAAAAATTCAATATATCCTAATTGTTTAAATAAATTTTCCTTATTGTTTACAGAAGTTGATTATCTTTTCATATGTTTTTGTCCATATTTATTTTTGTGTGGAGTACCTATTCAAGTCCTTTATCCATTTTGTCTATGCACATTAAAATAATTATTTATATTAATAACCATAATGACAGTAATTAGTAATAATTAAATATTTACTACTCTTAAGGCACTATTTTAAGAGCTTTACATGTAGTATTTCATTTAATCTTCACAAAAAAAATTTGTAAAGATTTTATTTATTTATTTGAGAGAGAGAGAATGAGAGAGCATGAGAGGGGTTAGGGTCAGAGGGAGAAGCAGACTCCCCGCTAAGCAGGGAGCCCGATGCAGGACTCAATCCTGGGACTCCATCCTGGGACTCCAGAATCATGACCTGAGCTGAAGGCAGTCACCTAACCAACTGAGCCACCCAGGAGCCCCTAATCCTCACAAAAATTTTATGAGCTATCTACTGTTATCTACATTTTATGAATGAGAAAACAGGATTATGGATTTTAGAACCCTTCTGGACCATACAGAAAAAGCTGTGGAACTCACAGGTGAATGCAGGTAATTGCCTTCAGGTCTTTTATATTTTTTGCTAGCATTGAGAAAGCCATGCGATTGTAAATATTCCCCCTTTTTTTTTACTTTTTTTTTTGTTTACCTTGTAGAGTTCTGAATTTCTATATTTCATACATA